TCTGGTCCAGGACTCTTATTTGTTGGGAGATTTTTGATAATTAATTCAATTTCTTCACTAGTTATGGGCCTGTTCAAAATTTCTATTTCTTCCCATTTGAGTTTTGGAAGTGTGTGGGTGTTTAGGAATTTGTCCATTTCTTCCAGGTTATCCAGTTTTTTGGCATGTAATTTTTCATAGTATTCACTGATAATTGCTTGTATTTCTGAGGGATTGGTTGTAAGAATTCCATTTTCGTTGATGATTTTATCTATTTGGGTCACCTCCCTTTTCTTTTTGAAGAAGCCTGGCGAGAGGCTTATCAATTTTGTTTATTTTTTCAAAAAACCAACTCTTGGCTTCCTTGGTCTCCTCTACTGTTTTTTGTTTTTGTTTTTGTTTTTTTGTTTTTTTTGTTTTTTTTTTTTTTTTGCCATTTTTGGATTCTATACTGTTTATTTCTGCTCTGATCCTTATTATTTCTCTTCTTCTGCTGGGTTTGGGGTGTCTTTGCTGTTCTGCCTCGATTTCCTTTAGGTGTGCTGTTAGAGTTTGTATTTGGGATTTTTCTTGTTTCTTGAGATAGGCCTGGATTGCAATGTATTTTCCTCTCAGGACTGCCTTCACTGCATCCCAAAGCATTTGGTGTTGTATTTTCATTTTCATTTGTTTCCATATTTTAAAATATTTTTTCTCTAATTGCCTGGTTGACCCATTTATTCTTTAGTAGGACTTTTTTTAAACTCCATGGTTTTTGGAGGTTTTCCAGACTTTTCCTGTGGTTGATTTCAAACTTCATAGCATTGTGGTCTGAAAGTGTGCATGGTATGATCTCAATTCTTTTATACTTATGAAGGGCTATTTTGTGACCCAGTATGTAATCTATCTTGGAGAATGTTCCATGCACACTCAAGAAAATATATTTTGTTGTTTTGGGATGCAGAGTTCTAAACATATCTGTCAAGTCCATTGGTCCAATGTATCATTCAGGGCCCTTGTTTCTTTATGGATTCTCTGTCTAGATGATCTATCCATTGTTGTAAGTGGAGTATTAAAGTCCCCTGCAATTACCACATTCTAATCAATAAGGTTGCTTATGTTTGTGATTAATTGTTTTATATATTTGGGGGCTCCCGTATTCGGTGTATAGACATTTATAATCGTTAGCTCTTCCTGATGGATAGACCCTGTAATGATTATATAATACCCTTCTTCATCTCTTGTTACAGCCTTTAAAGTCTAGTGTGTCTGATATAAGTATGGTTACTCCAGCTTTCTTTTGACTTCCAGTAGCATGATAGATAGTTCCCTCCATCCCCTCACATTCAATCTGAAGGTGTCCTCAGGTCTAAAATGAGTCTCTTGTAGACAGCAAATAGATGGGTCTTGTTTTTTTTTTTTTTTTTTTTTTAACTCATTCTGATACCCTATGTCTTTAGATTGGAGCATTTAGTCAATTTACATTCAGTGTTATTATTGAAAAATATGGGTTTAGAGTCATTGTGATATCTGTAGGTTTCATGCTTGTTAGTGATGTCTTTGGTACTTTGTGATCCTTGCAACATTTCACTCATAGAGTCCCCTTTAGGATCTCTTGTAGGGCTGGTTTAGTGGTGATGAATTCCTGCAGTTTTTGTTTGTTTGGAAAAACCTTTATCTCTCCTTCTATTCTGAAAGACAGACTTGCTGAATAAAGGATTCTTGGCTGCATATTTTTCCTGTTCATCACATGAAGATTGTTAAGGTCCATTTATCCCTAGCTGGTTTCAGAATTCTCTCTTTATTCTTGTATTTTGCCAGTTTCACTATGATATGAAGATCAATTCAAGTTACGTCTGAAGGGAGTTCTATGTGCCTCTTGGATTTCAATGCCTGTTTCCTTCCCCAGATCAGGGAAATTCTCAGCTATGATTTGTTCAAGTACACCTTCAGCCTCTTTCTCTCTGTCTTATTTTTCTGGAATTCCTATGATATGGATATTGTTCTGTTGATTGCGTCACTTAGTTCTCCAATTCTCCCTTCATACTCCTGGATTTTTTTTTGTCTCTCTTTTTCTCAGCTTCCTCTTTTTCCATAATTTTATCTTTTAATTCACCTATTCTCCCCTCTGCCTTTTCAATCCATGCTGTGGTTGCCTCCATCTTATTTTTCACTTCATTTATAGCATATTTTTAGTTCATCATGACTATTTTTTTAGTCCCTTGATCTCTGTAGTAATATATTCTCTGCTGTCCTCTATGCTTTTTTTCAAGCCTAGCAATTAATTTTATGACTATTATTCTAAATTCTTGTTCAGTTATGTTGCTTAAATCATTTTTGATCAAATCGTTAGCTGTCTCTCCTTCCTGGAATTTCTTTTGAGGAGAATTCTTCCGTTTAGTCATTTTGGCTAGTTTTCTGTCCCTTATGCATTTTAAAAACTTGTGTGCTCTGTACCTGCGAACCCTGCTATATTATAGGATGGTCATACACTATCCAGGGCCTGGCCCTTCAGGAGGTGTTTTCCTGGGAGATTGTTACTTGCTCTCTTTTTGTGACTTTGGTTATTTTATTACCCTACTCATAGTGATATTTTGGACCCTCCACCAAGTGTGCTTTGATTTGTTTCTTGGAGTAGCCCTTTTCTCCATTTTTCCCATTTTCCTCCAGTTAGATTCAGTCTCTTTTCCTCCAAGGCTCTGGGGTTAAAAGTCCTTTGGCTTCTGCACTTCTTTCTTTGAAAGATGTGGGAAGTATGGGTCCCCCTACTTATCCACCATGTTGGTCCTGGTTTTTTTGTTCTTTAGTGGGAACTCTACAGTTGTAGAAGCACCTCCACATTTCATTGCCTTCAGCCACTCCCCGGAATTATTTACATTGGTTCCCAGTCATCTTTGGTGAAACTCTGGAGTCTTGAGTATTTCTACAGTTATTCAACATCCTGATTCAGTCACAGAGGCCGTGAGGCAGTGCTGTAAGTTGTATCTCTGCCTTTCATCCACAGTCTTCCTTATGAGGCTTGCTTGGTGGTCACAAGACAAATAGATCTCTGCACTGGCCACCAAAATCTAAGTTTATGTGGAAGCCTTCATTGCATTCAGACATGTATACATGCAATCAGTCTTAACACCTTACTCTCTCCAACTATGTCCCTGAAACAGCACCCACCTGTTATATTGTACACTTGAAAGTAATGTAACACTATATGTTGATTATACTTAAGTAAAAAAAGGAAATTAAATAAAAAGGGAACAAAAAACTTTTAAATAAAAGTAAGCACCAGTAATGGCAATAATTTTTTTATCAAATCATTTTTAACAGTTCTTTCTTTTTACTGTAATTTTTAATTTTTTTTTTACATTTTATTTATTTTTGATAGAGAGAGACAGAGCATAAGTGGGGGAGGGGCAGAGAGAGAGGGAGACACAGAATCCGAAGCAGGCTCCAGGCTCCAAGCTGCCAGCACAGAGCCCAAAGCGGGGTTCGAACTCACAAACTGCTAGATCATGACCTGAGCTGAAGTCAGACGCTTAACCAACTGAGCCGCCCAGGCACCCTTACTTTAATTTTTAAATTTAAAAATTTAGTAGATATTAATATCAGTTTAATATGTTTTAAATTTTTTTTTTCAACGTTTTTTTATTTTATTTTTGGGACAGAGAGAGACAGAGCATGAACGGGGAGGGGCAGAGAGAGAGAGGGAGACACAGAATCGGAAACAGGCTCCAGGCTCCGAGCCATCAGCCCAGAGCCCGACGCAGGGCTCGAACTCCCGGACCGCGAGATCGTGACCTGGCTGAAGTCGGACGCTTAACCGACTGCGCCACCCAGGCGCCCCAGTTTAATATGTTTTAAGTAGCAGTTCATAAAAGGGAATATAATAGAAAAATATGTTCAAATATAACACATAAAGATTAAAAATATACCTAAAGATTAAATACAAGTTTATATTAATATTGAGCTTCTAAAAATATATAACCACTTTGGGGCATAGTCACAGAATACTGGAAAACATTTTTATTTTTTTAATATTTTAAAAATGTTTTTAGTTTTTAAAACATTTTAAAATATATATTGTTTATTCTATGACTGTATTATTTGAATCCAAAATTTTTATAATTGAAATTACTAATAAACTTTGAGTTTCAGTTTTGAAAATGTTAAAATATATTCTCGTGTTTTCAGAGAAAGGTCAAAACATACCTGCAAAACGACATGCTGCTCCTGAAAAAAATGGCCTCTTAATCAGTTTCTACATTTTTCTACCTTTCCTTATTTTAATTGCCATTATTGCTCTTAAATGGAATAAAATAAGATTTTGGAACAGAGTGGAAACAGTAAGTGGAGAGTAAGTAAATCTATTATTTTAAAAAATTAATATTAAAATCCATTTGGGGAATAACTAAAATGTAACTCAGAATACAATAAGTAGGCCTTAAAAATGTTGAATTTGGATCTTGGATGAATTTGGTTAGGATTTATAAATATTGAGGCTTGTTATATACCACAGTTTTTCAGATTTCAAGTAGTCATTCCTTTTCTTATAAGTCCAGAAATAACCAAAGGTACTTAGTAAATTCACAGTGCCTCTCAAATTGAAAGCCATGTTTGCTACACATGCTTGTCTACTACCTAAGCAATCTCCTTTTGTTTGTTTTTTTGGCATTGACATTCAGTTGTGTCAAGGAGATTAATAGAGTTAGAGACTAATAGAGTGGTAAAGAAAGCCATGTTTGCTATACTTGCTTGTCTACTACCTAACCAATCTCATTTTTTTCCTTTTTTTTTTTGACATTGACATTCACTTGTGCCAAGGAGATTAATAGAGATAGAGAAGGAAATTTTGTGAATTAAAGAGGTAGAAGGTGAGAAAAATGTTTAAAAAACATGATAGGAAAAGGAGAATACACATGACAATGCCCATTTTACACTTATTTAATATTGCTCATCTGTTTCTAAAATTAGAACTCAGTTATTTGAAATGGACACCAAAATAAATCTAGTTAATATCTGTCACCATACATGGTTACAAAATGTTATTTTCTTGTGATGAAGACTTAAGATCTATTGTCTTGGCAAGTTTCAAATATGCAATACTTTATTATTACCACCATGTTATACATTATATATTCATGATTTATTTTATAACTGGGAAGTTTCTACCTTTTCCCTCCCTCACTCATTTACTTATCCCACAACCCCAACTTTGGTAATCACCAATTTGTTCTGATTATCTATGGGCTTGCTTTTGTTTTGTTATGTTTTTTTAAATTTGATTCCACATGTAAGTGAGATAGTATGGTAGTTGTTTTTCTCTAACTTATTTCACTTACACACAGATTTTTTTCTTTACCATATCACCAACACAAGTCACAGTTTTGCTCCATGGATATTCAGGAAAAAGAATGCAGAAGTAAAGATAAATGCGTCTCATTATTCTTTGTGGACGGAAAATGTCTCTGTTTCTCACTTGTGAAAATAAAGATAAAATAATGATATAAAGCTTCCATCAAAAACCCTCTTAAGATAGTGGATTTATAGGAAACATACCTCAACATAGACCATATATGAAAAACCCACACCTAATATCATACTCAAAGATGAAACTTTGAGAACTTTTCCTCTAAGCTTAGCAACAAGGCATCCACTTTTGCCACTTTTGTCAACATAGTACTGGAAGTCCTAGCCATAGCAATTAGACAACAGCAACAAAAAAGTTTTTAATCCAAATTAGTAAGGAAAAAGTAAAATTGTCACTCTTTGCAAATGACAGGGTACCATATATGGAAAAGCCTAAAGACTAAACCAAAAAATTGTTATAACTAATAAATGAATTCAGCAAAGTTGAAGTATACAAAATTAATATACACAAATCAGTTGTGATTACATACAATAATAATTAAGTAGCAGAAAGAGAAATTAAGGAAATAACTCCATATGCAATTGGAACAAAAAGAATAAAATACCTAGGAATAAACTTAACCAAAGAAGTAAAGAACTTTACTCTGAAAACTAAAAGACATTGATGAAATAAATTGAAAATGACACAAATGGAAAGATATTTTGTGTACATGGATTGGAAGAATTAATATTGTTAAAATATCCATACTACCCAAAGCTGACTACAGGTTAAATACAATCCTAGTCAAATTACCAGTGATATTTTTTTACAGAACTAGAACAAACACTAAAATTTTTATAAGACCACCCAAGACCACAAATACTCAAATCAATCTTGAGAAAGAAGAACAATGCTAGAGGTATCACGATCCCAGATTTCAAGATATACTACAAAGCTGTAGTAATCAAAACAGTATGGTGTTATCACAAAAATAGACACATCAATCAATGGAACAAAATGAAGAGCAGAGAAATAAACCCATGATTATATGGACTATTAATATGCAACCAAGGAGTCTCTTAGAATATGCAATGAGAAAAAGTCTCTGCAACAAATGGTGCTGGAGAAACTGGACAGCTACATGTAAAAGAATAAAACCAGACCACTTTCTTATACAATGCACAAAAAACAAAATGGATTAAAGACCTAAATATGAGACCTGAAACCATAAAAATCCTACAAGAAAACATAGGCAGTAATTTCTTTGACATTGATCGTAGTAACATTTTTCTAGATATGTCTCCTCAGACAAAGGAAATAAAAGCAAGAATAAACTATTGAGACTACACCAAAATAAGCCTATGCACAGTGACAGAAACCATCAAGAAAACAAAAAAGCAACCTATTGAACGGGAGAAGACATTTCTAAATGATATATTAGATAAGTGATTAATATCTAAAATACATAAAGAATTTATACAATTGAATACCAAAAAACCCCGCAAATAATCTGGTTAAAATATGGGCAGAGAACCTGAATATTTTTCCAAAGAAAATATACAGATAGTAAACAGACAAATGAAAAGATGTTCAACATCACTAATCATTAGGGAAATGTAAATCAAAACCACAATGAGATATGGCCTTACACCTGTCATAATGGCTAGAATCAAAACAAAACAAAACAAAACAAAAAAACAAGAAATGACAAGTGTTGGCAAATATGTAGAGAAAGAAAAAAACAAACCTTGTGCACTCTTGGTGGGAATGTAAATAGGTGCAGGTATTGTGGAAAACAGTAAAACTAAAAAGAAAATACCTAGAAGATATTACACTAAATGAAATGTCAGACTGAGAAGACAAATTTCATGAGTCCACTTATAAGTGGAAAAAATAATGAATAAACAAACAGAAAGCAGAATCAGACCTATAAATACAAAGAACAAATTAATGGTTGCTAGAGGGGAGTGGAGTTGAAGGGTTGGAGAAAATGGGTAAATGGGAGAGAAGATGTAGACTTTTACTAATGGCATGAATAAGTCATGGTAATAAAAGACACAGCATAGAAAATATAGTCACTGACATTGTAATAGTGCTGTACTAGGACAGATGGCAGGTGCACTTGTGGTGAACATAGCATAATGTATACACTTGTCAAGTCACTAAGTTGTACACCTAAAATTAATGTAACGTTGTGTGTCAACTATACTCCAAAAAGAGAGAAAAACATAAAATTACAATGGTTTCTAACCCTAATTAATGCTATTTCTTTTTCACAGATCTATATCAGAAGACAACAATAGTAATAGCAACCAGTCATCAAGTTAAAGGTAAATTGAAGGAATAAAATTATTGAAAATGATATAATTCATAAAATAGTTTTAAAAATTTAACAATACCTCAGTGTAAAAAAACTATTATTCCATATTCCTTCATCGTGATTGCTATTTATCAATATCATATACTAAAAAAAAGACTAAAAACATTTAATAATTTTGGTTTTTTTGTTTTTTTTTTTGTTTTTTTTTTTAACATTTATTTATTTTTGAGACAGAGAGAGACAGAGCATGAACAGGGGAGGGGCAGAGAGAGAGGGAGTCACAGAATCTGAAACAGGCTCCAGGCTTTGAGCTGTCAGCACAGAGCCCGACACGGGGCTCGAACTCACGGACCGTGAGATCATGACCTGAGCCGAAGTCGGACGCTCAACCGACCAAGCCACCCAGGCGCCCCAATAATTTTGTTTTATATTAGCTTATAAATATTTAATGTTAACTAATATTAGCCAGAGATTTATCAACCAACATTTTGGTAATAAGAAATGACTTTAAAGAGATTTTAAATATGTTCTTAAAATATTTATGAGCCATGATGCATCCTGCTCCCACATTTAAGGTTCTAATTTGATAGATTTACACAGATTGACTCCCAGCATTTATATTTTTTCCTCACTAAGCCTCCACAGTTATTGTTAGCCTTATTTTAGAAATGAGGAAACAAACATGAAAAATTTAAATAATCATCCATGTGTACAGAATTTTAGTAAATTTTGAAGCTGGAGTTTCATTCCAGACAACCAGACTCCAAGGATTAACTCTTAAAGAACTCAACATCTGGGGACATCTGGGTGGCTTAGTCAATTAAATGTCCAACTCTTGATTTCAGCTCAGGTCATGATCTCATGGTCGTGAGATTGAGCCCTACTTCAGGCTCTGGTCTGGGAGTAGAGTCTGCTTGAGATTTTCTTTCTCCTCCCTCTTCCCCTCCTTTGCTTGTGCATTCTCTCACTCTCAAAAAAATCCCCCAAAACAAAACAAAAGAAACAACAACACACACACACACACACACACACACACACACACACAATTTTGACACATGTAGCATGAGGTATGCCTGGTGAAGGGAAATGAAATTTACATTTATTGAGGACCAATTAGATGTCAAGCAAAATGATAAATGCATTGTCCCTCCAGAGAAGAGAGACAAATTCTTTACTATGAGAAGGGGTAACATTGGCATTTGTATAGATTCAATATATCTATCTGTATATTTTCTGTATGTGTATATACATATATATATACAGATGTATCTGAATATATCTGACATATCTGAATATGTATGTATATATTCAAATGTATAAGTCATATACATAAAGAAATCATAATATTTTACATTTTAGACCTATCACTGGGAGTAAGTGGAAGAATTAAAAATTCAACCATGAATGAAAACAAGAGTTCATCCAATTACTAATCAGCCATTCCTCCTTATCTAACCTTGATGGAGAGTTAAGTCAATGGATCTCTGTTTCCCTATCTGCCACCAAAACAAACAAACAAACAAACAAAACACTAACTACTATCCTCCATGTAAAATAGTCTTATTTCTCAGTAGGGAGAGTTGGGAGAGTTGGTGGTGAGGGAGGAGGTGGATATTGGTTTCAAATATAATTGAATGAGTGGGCCCTATTCAGCAAGAGATGTGTAAACAAAGTATTGGAGGAAGTTGCAAGTATTGACTCAGTTTATTTATTTAAAAGGAGGTACTTGAATTCCCAGGTTCAGTTCACATGGGACTTTTATTTAAATGTAAAGGATACAGTGCAAGAGAGAGTGTGGGCAAAAATGGGCACCGGAGAGATATCTCATGCACAAGGCCTCATGGTTCCTTTAAATTTTAAACAGTCCATTATAAATTCCACTGCCAATGTCTTGGCAAAAAGTGAAACCAAGCATCCAGGCTTTCCTAGAGATAAAGATAGAGCTTTTCCATTCCGGCTGTAAATCAACTCCTTACAGAGGCATAGAGTTGGCAGAGGTCGCCATGCATATATCTAGGCAGGAGCTTTCCAAGCATGTGAATGATCCAATGAAAAAATAAGTCAGAAATGTTTGATGATTAACAGTGATGTCAGTTTAGCTGGAGCAGAGTTAGCAAGGGGACTGTGGTCGTGAGTAGGTCAGACAGTAAAACTCTTTTAGGCTGTGGGAAGTGTTGAGAGCTGTGTTTTATTCTGAGAGGAAATCATTGGAAGATTAATGTTCAAGACTTCCACTTTAAAAGGCTGGTTTGTTAAAATAAATAAATTAAAAAAAAGACTGATTTGTTGAAAATAGTTTGTATGATGGCAAGAGGAGAAGTGGAGAAACCAGTTGGTGGAGAAACTACTGTAATAATCCAGGAGGGAAAGGATGGTACCTCAGACCAGGGGTAGTAAAGATGGTTTTAGGAATAAATTTTGAAGGATACCAACAGAATGAACTGGCAGCTTCAATATAAAGTGTAAGAAAATGTGCTTAAATAACGTTTATTGATTAAGCAGCAAGATAAGCAAGGTTAAATGTAAACACAGACCTGTTTTCAAATGTATGCTCTTATTACATTTTAAAATTTATATTAAAATTTATGAATGTTGCAAGAGAAAATCTACATGGATAATTGTGAACCAAGACAAATGTTTGGCATGCCATGATGAGGAGCATGTTTTCTTACACACGAGAAAGTATTTCTCATCTAAAGTATTTTTGAAGTAGTAAGGGAGGGATTCAGCATGATATGGTTGGCTTTTTTACATATTTAGGGAAAAAGTCAGACTCAGTAAGAACTGGAGGCTAGTGAATCAACTCCAACTGTATGTGTATGGGTCACCTGTTGGAAAGGCACAGAGGATTTCTTGAAATACTCTTCCTCTGAAGATAAAAATAGACAAATTAGTAGTTACTTATTTCTTCACATATTCTACTGTTCTTTTCCTCTCTGTTTCCTTGCTGGTGACTTTCTTTTATCCATGTGAAGTGTAGAAACTGTGTAAATATAATGCTTGTGAATATGACTTTTAATATTTCCTTTTACTGTGGCTATCACAGACAACTTAGGAAAAAAAACAGGTTTACACATTTTGTGAAACAAAGGTCTAGATTGTGACACTATAATCAGTGTCTCATATACCAATGATTTGCTATATCTCTAGTTGTCTAGTAAAATGAGATCACTTTTATTAACAATTAAAATTTAGCATATCTCTTTCTGTATTTGTTTTACAACAGTGACTAAACAATGTCAAAAAGCCATAGGTTGGAAAAAGGATATTACCAAGATGCTAACCATTAATTGACCTGATTCAAGAATGAAAAAAAAAAACAAAAACCTATTCTCTCCTTTTGTTATGGCTTAAAGCTTTTCAACTTCACAAACAAAAATAAATCCTGAGAGTGAAAGTATGTAGGTTTGTGTCTATTGATTCTTCTACATGTTGTGATCCTTTATGGGAAAATAAGCAACTTTTGAACCAGAGAAGTTGTCACATCCCCAGATGTGAACATTCCTTATTCACTGAAGACACCCCACAGTCCACACCTCTTCCAACTGCCCGTGATTCCCTGCTATATCCCTTCCAGGCTTAGGGATATTGAGAGGAAATGTTGCCAGGTAAGGCCAGCCCCAGAATGAACCCCCAGATAGACACTAACATCCATTCCATCTCCAGGGAATTGCTCCAGCTGTGTTTCTGGTCATAGATAACTGTTGTGTCTCCGGGTGAGAATTCTGTGGCCTCATGTAATTTGGGATCTAGGATATATCATTGTCCTTTGGGGAAGACAGACTTGCTCCTCCTCTTTTGCTGGAGATGAGCTTTACTGGGTAATATTTTCTTGCTTCAGGATCCCCCTCCCCATCTCCCTCTTACTAAGATGAGTGCACTTCTCAAAGTGCACCTTAAAGTGTTGTACATGGATAAGGGAGCCATCAACCTAGCTGGAATCTAATGAGAACCTACAGAGTCTCCCTCAATAAACAAGGATGCTCCTGGTTCAGGGTTAGGGGTACCTCACCACAGAGGCTAAGAGATTCCTTTTCCAAATGTCCATCAACTGATGAATGGATAAACATTGTATGAATAGTGATCTATGCATGCAATGGAATATTATCCAGCCATAAAAAGGAACAAAACACTGATACCTCTACAACATGAACGAACCTTTGAAACCATTCTGCTAAGTAAGTAAAACTAATCACAAAACCCATATGTTATTCATTTGTATGAAATATCCAGAATGGGGACATCTATAGCGACAAAGGGTGGTGGTTATTTTCGGCTGGGTTAAGTGGGGATGAAAAGCTGGGGTGAGGGGTGGGGTGATAGCTAAAGGGTACAGGGTTCCTTTTGAGATGATGCAACTAAAATAGACTGTGGTGATGGCTGCACATATCTGTGAATATATGGAAAATACTAAACACATTCAGTTGTATAATTTAGTGGTCACTTGTGTGGCAAAAAAAAATATATCAGGATGATTCTACCATAACTTTACCACATCCTTATTGTGACTTATTTTGGGTCATTATAATTACTGGCCTGCCTTATTTTAATAATTTATGAGGATCCCATGTACACTACCACTTAGCAGATCCAAGTTTTAAGCCTGACTGGACTTTAACATTGCAACTATTGGCACAATTCATCCTTGTAATAGGGTGTACTGGGATAAAAGAAAGTATAGGAGAGAGGTGGGTGGAGGTCAGTTGGGTCTTGGACATGTGTTGATTTAAGATTTCTCTTAGAATATTTAAAGAAAATTGCATGCTCTTTTCCAGCCAAGACACATTTCCTGTTTGCCTTGCTGCCCCTCCGTCCCCCACCTCTGCAGTTTCCCTGCAAGTGCTTAGAGTAACTGTTAACAAAACACTTGGGTCGCATTAAATTTTTTTTTAATTTACATTTATTTATTTTTGATAGACAGAGAGAGAGAGGGCACAAGTGGGGGAAGGGCAGAGATGGAAGGAGACAGAGAACCCAAAGCAAGCTCCAGGCTCCAAGCTGTCAGCAC